TTTTTAAAATGTCGTCTTTCTAATATTTGTTGATAAATCTTCTTCTATTGTTTACTATGCTTGTTTTAGGTTAAGATGATACTTCATCAAACTGTACTAATGTTCACAAATACCTTTGAGTAATGAGGTGCTAAAAGCTTTTCTTCACGTTTTTAGAGCGAACTGAACATAGGGCGTTGAGAAATTCAACAGTCTTTGTTGTATTTAAAACTTTGTTACGTTACAGCTATGTGTCATGAGTGCGAGGAGGTGAATAAACTCTCATGTTATACAACTCTCTTCATTTAGCAAATAGAACAAATCAACGATTGATAGGCAAAAGAAAATCAAGAGTATATATACTGATCCTCTCAGAGTAAGCTAAAATTAGATTGCAGTTTGATGCATTGCTTACATCATCTGTAATTTTTGATGGAAAAGAAGGGTAGAGGAGGAAGGATGTCGATATTCAATTTTTTATGGTAAATATGTTCAAAAAATTTCAGCTTCTTCACTGTTGTTCTTGATAGGGTGGAGGAATCCCATTTGTAGAACCAAACACAGTTTCTGGTGCAGGTATGGTTGGTGTGGACTCGAAATTGAAGTTGAACGAGCATTCGCGATCATGTAGAAAGCCATAAAACGAGTAGATAATCTGGAATGAATCCTAACACATTTGCGAGACTTATTTACATGTTTATCGTCTTCCCAAAATTACAATTTTAAATGTGCTCTGTTGTGCATGGCATAGTGAACGGTGAATAATTTTACTGTATTACCTCAAAGAAGTAAGCTTGAAGGAGTCCGCCCAAACAGAGCGCGAGGATGAATAGCACAGTGAAGGATGCAAGGTCTGAAATGCAAGTTCTACCCTAAAACCAGAAGGGTGGTACTGTAGGTTGCAGGTAAACCTGAGTCAAGCTGCTTCTGTGAAACGTGGAGATTCACTCTGCCGATGTCCTTCGCTAATTCAATCACCATGTTTGACTTAACCGCTATGGCTATAATGTAGGAGAGGAGCACAATCACAGTGACACCAACCGATATGATCTGAAAATTAAAACGATTAACAACTAGCGTTTAGAAGTTGTTGAAAAAGAAAGAGCTACGAACTTGGAAGACTAGGTAAGGAACCAAGTATAGTCGTTTTTCCTTGTAAACGCCATATAGCAAGCTTCCAAACACCACCACAGCGAAGGCGGACCTGAGAGTCATCAAGTCACCAATACTGATATCACAAACCCATAGGCATTTTATCAGCTCTTTGCCCCAGCATCTTTGGAAGCCAACTTTGCGACATGGACCATGTCGTTCTGACTAGTTTTTATAAAAGGTGCTATTTTATCATTACGAACAATTCGACGTGAGTCGGTTCCTAAAGAGCA